GGGCGGCAAGCCGCACCGGAAATGGTCCACCTGTTCAGATCCTGTCACCAAGCCGCGCTGCACGCAGCGCTCGCTTGCTTGCATTGGAACCGCTTGTTCTGCAGTACTGTCCGCCGGGGTGGGGGCCATATTCCCATTGCTGGGGTTGGTGAGCTGGCGCTGTCGGATGTGGCCGGGCAATCACCGTCGGCCGATGTCGGCCGCGTACTTCACGCCGCAACGTCGGCACACACAACTATTCTGCCAGCACCACCGCCTTTGGGCGACACGCCGCCGCCCGCGCCGAAAACCTGAGATTGGGGGTACAGGGGAACCGAATCACATACCTTGCTGTTTGCAAGCAGTCCTTCGCGAATGGTGCAACACTACCCCGCAGCCACGTTTGCCCTCCCTTCCAACAGCCCTTTCAGAGCGAGCGCTGCGCATGCCATTGCCACAAGGTGGACCCGGATGCAGGGCATGCGCAAGTGTCCGCCAAAGGAACTGTCGCGCGCTCGCCGCGCGTGGGTTTTTGCCGGCCGAGCTCCGTGTTTTCCAGCCCGATCAGCCCGGTCAGGCTCGCCGCTGGTGCAACCACATTGCATGATGCAAAGATTGGGGGAGCTGGCGAAGGCCAGCAAGCATGCGGGGGCTAAGGAGACCTGCTTCAGGACACCGAGGCTACGGAGTTGCTCGCGGGTGAGGCATTCGCTATGCTACGGCCCGCCTGACGGCGCTTCGCAGGCGCTGGCATTTGCCTCTGTGCCCCAACCCCTGCTGATCGGAACTGCACCTGCCGAGCTTGCCCAAGGCCCTGCTTCGGCTGCCGCGTGCCTGCGCGCTGCTGAGGAGGCCGGCCGCGTGCTCGACCGCACCAACTGGACCGGCCGCCCGTCTTGGAACGACCTGCTCAACAACCTGCGCCCCGCACAATGCGATCTGCCCGAGCCTGGCGAGCGGTGCCAGGGCTGGCAGCGTCACGGTTCCCGCGCTTGCTCTACCCACTTCCGCGAAACCGAGTTGCTACCCGCTCTGCCCGCCCCTGCCCAGGCCATGCTCCGTTCGCAGTCGGGGCCGCATGCCGCCGATTGGATCAGCGCCACCCCGTGCGAGGACCACCATGCCGCCTGCCCCCGTGCAGGCCTTCTTGCCGCAGAGCCAAGCCCCTGGAGCACGCCTGGGTGCGCGTTGCTCGTGAGCCTGTCGGACCTGAGGGCCAGGTCGTCCCGCAGCAATGGCTCGCACGCACGTCGGCCCCGGACGTCGATCCCACCGATCGCCGTCGCCTCGACTTTGTGGCATATGGCATATGGGGCTACCCCGCTCGGTGAAGCCTTGTGCTGCGACGTCACTCTCGTGTCCCCGCTGACACGCGACGGGCGCCCTCAGCCTTCCGCCGCGACGCGTGACGGTGCCATGATCGCTGTCGCTGAGCGGCGCAAGCGCGCAGCGTACCCCGAGTTGCTGCACCCGGGGCCCCAGCGCCTCTGCATCCTCGCGTGCGAAGCCGGCGGACGCTGGAGTTCTGAATCGCACCGCCTGGTCATGCAACTGGTGCGGCTTCGCGCCCAGCGCGCTCCTGCTGCCCTGCGCGGTGCTGCTACCCAGAGTGTTTGTGGGGAACCAGATGTATCATGATACTCCTTTTGTCCTCTTGCTGACGATAGCTGTAGGCTCGATCGTTAAAGCATGCAACATCTTAATTTCCTTTTGCAGTTCACGAAGATGAGCTTTGCATGTCACAGTATACAGCTTTCAACGGCGACTTGTGGCTCAAGTTCGAGAAAAGAATGGGCTCGTGAGCACTCGCCCATGTGGTGAAGGGTGTTCAGGGTGATCAGGTTTGGAATTCGGTGTGGCGGACGCCGAGGGGATCTGGAGGTGAACGACGACGATGGAGGCAGACGATTTCCGTGAACCCCGTACTCCCCGTAATCGTCCAACCCAACGAGCGCTGCCTGATCATTATAGCCCGGTTACTGATGCAGCATCAAGTCCCGATGTGAACATTGTGCAAAGGCGCGACTTGACGCATTATGATGGAGCTTATAACCAACAGGTTATGAGCCCAAGGGCTCCACTTAGCAACCCCGCAGGCGTTACTGAGGCACCATCGCCCTTGCAGACGGCTACCCTTGTGCAGGCAACACGGCTGGAGATCCCGACGTCAATCCTTCAGCAGTTTGCACAGGCAGCTTCATTGGATGCTACTTTGCTTCACGACATAAGAGCGGCCGTAGTCGAACTCAATGATCGTATGCAGTACATATCCAACATCTTGGGGGATGCATGTGTAACGCTCCACTCTGGATACAATGCCATGGTGGATAACTTGGACAGGCTTCAGCAAGGGATGGAGGCCCATAGCCGTACCTTGGCCTGTCTCATGAACGAAAACCAGTCACTGAAGCAGCAGATCGACTCCACACGTGAACAACTCAGTGTGGACATGAGGCAGCAGCTTGCAATCACTCGCGAGCAGCTGAGCGCAGTCCAGGCGAAGGCCGAGGCTGGAGTGTTGGGCCCACAACAGTGGCAAGCCCAGGTTGAGGCTCACATTGTGACTATCCAAAATAATCTTGATGCTGGATTCCGGAAAGCCAGCTCAGAAAAGGATGATCTGCAGTCCCGTCTTACTTTGCTTGAGCAGGCGTGTAAGCGGAATGATGGCAGGTTAGATGACTTGGTCCAAAAGGGCCTTGGGGAACATGACGGGGCAGTCATGCCTGAGGTGCGTGCCGAGATGTATACGCTGGGCACAACGGTATGTGAACATATGCAGCGTCTTGATGAGATGTTCCAGGACGTTGCAGGTCTACACGCCTCAGTAGCTACCATGTCGGACCGCCAGGCTGCAATGGAGCAGAACCTGGAAGTCTTGCACCAAACATGGGAAGCTTATGCCTTGCACAGTGATCTCCTTGAAGGTGAAAACATTGTGGATGAAGCAGGCATAAATGAGTATGAAGCCGAGTGGTGGGCCGCAGATCCCTGTATGCCACCCGGTCATCAAACCGAGAATCTTGACGCAGCCGCAGGACCACAGCCTGCAGAGCACCCGCCCGGTTTGGAGGTGCAACAGGATGGATCTCGGGAATTGCCTTCGGCCGCAGAGCCGAAACCGGAACACGGATCCGTGACGAGTGCCACGGCAGGTGCAATACCGCTCTGGCGGTGGAAGTTATTTCAGGATGTTCCTTTGCTCAATCTACAGTAGGTTCTGGGGAGCCCTGGGAACTGGGCATGCGACTCAGGACGTGGATCAAACAAGTCGAAACTATTTCCAGTACGATTGCGGGCAGTTTCGGTGATTACGTGAAGAACCAGTTTCAGATTGCCGATCAGCGCCATCAGAGACGATCATCTGGACTTGTATCACTTGAAGCGCTGAAAGAGGTTTCAATAACCGATCTTGAGAATGAGAATAGGTTAGTCCTTCTCTTGATAAGGTGTATCCCGTCAGAGCTTAAGCAAGGGGTTCTTGAAAAGAACGATGAAAATGAGCCGATTCGCGCAGTCGACTTGCTGGAAGGTGTGTTGGAGACTTTGCAGCCCGGAGGGGCAGCCGAAATGCAAAGTCTTCATGCGTTTGTCCGTAGTTTGCAGCCTGCTTCCACGGCGAAGGAAGCACTTAGCACATTGCGTCGCTGGCGCCTCGCGCGTACTCGCGCGAGATCGCTGTCACTACCCCAGGTTGCGCCGTGGAGCTGAAGGCACTTGAGACCCTAGTTCGGAATCTTGAGAGGCGGCATGATCGCTTCAGGACAATGCTAGGTTTGTTGCGCACGCAGCCTGATATCATTCGGCCTACGGTTAGGGGTGTCGAATCCATGGTAGCGCTAATCGATCAACAGCTGCAGCTGCTCAGTGCGGATGAACATGTGAAAAACAATCGCCAAACCGAGCCGGATTCACAGGCGGCTAAGGGAAAAGGTGGAGGAAAGGGCAAAGGGGATGGAAAGGGCAATGGTGGCAGCGCCGCTACGAAGCCATGTCCATTTCTTAAGAAATTTGGTTCGTGCAAGTTCGGTGACAAATGTTACTTCAAGCATGACGGTGTAGAGCCAAAAGCCAAAGCGAAGTCAGCCCCTAACCCGAAACCCGCAGCCAAACCTAAAGCCAGCCCATCGACTTCAACCCCGACTACCACAGTCGGAGCGCAGGCCGTGTGCCAGATGTGGTCGAAAACCGGCAAGTGCAGGTTTGGCGAGAAATGCAAATTCAAGCACGAAGGTGAGGCAGCCGCAAAGCAAGCATCAGCATCATCATCGCAGGCCCAGGCCCCACTGGTAGGCGCACAGCCCAATCCTAAAGCTTCAGCCGCGCGAGTGAAGTCGCATGTTGCAATGGCTCGGAGTTCCGGGTCCGCAGGTTCAGCAGAAGCTGAGGAGGAGAGTAGTGCAGCGCCTTCTTCCACTGAGGAGGAGATGCCAATGCACGCTGAGGCAAGCACGCCGGAGTGGTCCGATGTTGAGCAAGGTTTATATCCCGATCAAGAATCTAGTGTAGCGGAGTCTTCAGATACAGAGCAACAGCAACCCCAAGGAATTGCAGCTTATGTGTCGAATGCGGGGGGCCCGCTCTGGGTTTTAGATCTTAGGGTAAGGGATTATGTTGCGTGGACGCATAGGCGCACGGGACAGTATGTAGATGATGAAGGTCGTGGGCCACCTGAAATTCAGAGCTTTGCAGACAGTGCCTTTTACACTGAGCCGAATCCGCGGTCGGTGACGTGGGCAGTGTGGTTCACTGTCATACATGACCAGTTGGATGAGGACGATAGCGGAGTGATTCCAGTAGCTGATGGATGGTGTAGACATGATCAAACTTGACGCTGCGCTGGTGCAGTGTGCAGATGGGATCCCGAGACCGGTTTTCGTAGCTTGGGTGGTAGATTTAGAGACTGGACGTGAACGAAGATTCGCAGTCGCAAGAATCACTCAGCAGCCGATTGTGCGTGAGTGGACGAGGCCACCGCCCAGTGTAGCTGCACCACCGAGGGCAACAAACTCAACAGGTCCATGGGCGGAGATGCGGGCAACTTCGTGGGCAGTGCCGCATGTGACACAAGCTCACCACCCACCTGTAAGCGCTTGTGTGCATCGACGACCGAGGAGTGTGCAGCAACCGGAATCCTTGTACCCAGAAGGGACAGATGAAGCACACCAGAAACCCCTAGCAGCAACCGCTGTAGGAAGCGCCCTGGGGCATGCAGGGGGGGACGATCTTGTCCTTGCAGATACAGGTGCGAATGAGGTCATCAGACCTACCGGAAACGGGCCTCCGCCCCGTTCCTCTAGTGTGAGCTTGACTTTAGCTGATGGAAATGAGGTTGAGGCTTGGCGCACGCGTGATGGGGAATTGGCTATTCCGGGAAGTGATGCATGGATCGCCCCTATAGGTAAGATAGTTGCCCTAGGATATCGGTTTGTATGGGACCCCATAACAGGAGCACAGCTGAAACGTGATGATGGTGAGGATGAGACAACATACCACTTGTGCATCGAGAATGGATTGCCCTACTTGGCCTGGAGTGACTTTGTGGAGATTCGGAAGCAGTTGTCCCAAGCACATAAGGTCCGAAAGCGCAGCATGTGTGCCCATGTTGAGTCCCCAGCAGAGCCGCGATATGTGACATTGGAGGACTTCGTCGCATGCGAAGCTGAACACCGTGCTCAGGAGGAGCCAGTGGGACACATTGGCGAAAAAGTTGCTGAGCAGATCTTGTGTAAGGACCACATATCATATGATGATGTGCTAGAGGCAATCTTGAAGTCGAATTTTGCACCGCAGAGAAAGCGTAGGTCCTGCATTGACACCTCCGACGACAAGGTTGAGTGTTGGGTTTTCGGGGCTTTCAATATGGGATCACAGGTGGGAGTCACTAAAAGGACCGATGAAAGGCCTCTCTTGACAAGATTGGTGAACCGTTTTATGCAACAAGAAAACCCCGGTATGTCGTGGTCCTCGTTTACCATTTCAAAAGACATCACCTTTGCGCCGCATCGAGATCTTGGAAACGAGAACGATACCCAGAACATCCTTGTAGTCTTGAACCATCAGAGGTCATGTCGGGGAGGGGAGTTGTGGGTGGAGAATCCAAACGGTGATGAAATCCGCGAGGTGGGTAAGCATAAAAGCCTGAAAGGTATGTTGCACCCCACACAGCGAACACCCGTGGTCTTCTCCCCCAAGCTGTGGCACGGTACAGCTCCGTGGAAGGGCATGCGAGTTGCTGTTACCTTGTTCACAAGTAAAGACATCAAGAACTTGGAATCTTCTGAAAGGCAGCGCCTGTATAGTCTGGGCTTCCCGGCATTTGGTGCAGCAGCAGCGGCAACGGCAGCCACTGTCAACAATAGCCCTAAGGACCCTGACCCGCCGACGTTAAGCCCTAAGGACCTTGACCCGCCGACGTTAAGCCCTAAGGACCTTGTTGACCCGCCGACGTTAAGCCCTAAGGACCTTGACCCGCCGACGTTACGCCCTAAGGACCTTGATCCACCCAGCCGGAGCTCTAAGCACCCAATAGATCCCCCGAATGACCAGCCAGACGCGTGGCTATCCGAGGAGGTCTTGGACGACGTGACGACAGGGGTTTTTCAGGGTTTTGGGGATTTCGGAAAGTTTGGGAATGAGGCTGAAAGGGTAGAGGTGAGCCATGGTGTCAGTGCGGCGGCGGTAGGTCATGGACTAGATGACTTTAAGGCACGCGGAACTCGAAGACCTCACTTGAGAATCAAGGCCGAAGATTTATCACGCGGAGTGTTGTCGATTGATCTCGCAGGACCATACAGAGTATCAGCGAACGGGGAGCGCTATGTTCTTGTGGCAGTCTTCAGATCTGAGGACAATGTGCTGCCGTTTGTCCGGTGTCTCAAGAGACGACTGTGGACCGACGTGTGTGAGGGTGTATCTTCAATCTTGAGTGAACTCTGTGCCTTAGTGGGTAGCAAACAAGTCGTTCGTCTTCATTCCGATCGTGCAAAAGAATTCCTGGCAATCAAAGTTGCAGAGTACTTGAACAATGCCGGAGTGTTCCAAACGACGACCTCTGGGCATGACCCTGCTGCTAACGGCTTGGCGGAGCGCACTGTTGGGATCTTGAAGGAGAAAGTGAGAGAGTTCATTGTCCGAGGACAGGTATCTTCAATGCACTGGCCCTATCTGTTCAGTGAAGCAGCACGCATCCAGAGAGAGCAGATCTTGGGCAAGTTGTGGCAGGGGGAAGTGCTTTTTCCTGGTGATGCTGTCGCCGTGAAGGTTATCGATCCCTCGCCATTGGAGGCGAGAGCGGAGGCAGGCATTTTCTTGGGACGCTCCGATCGGGCTACCCATGGGGCATTCGTTCAGGTGAAGCGAAATGGAAAACCCGTAATCATTCTTACCCGCTTGCCTACCTTGGTGAAGGAGAAGCCACAGCGTTGGCATACCTTTGAAACCTTGTCGGGGGACCTTATTTGGATCTCTGATTCAGGAGAGGCAAAGAGTGCAGATGATGTGCGGGATATTGGCATCGACCTTGGGTTGATCACTGTGGAAGAGGTGCAACACGGTCAGAGTCCGTTGGAGGGATATCCAATCGCAGCTGCAATCACTGAAACAACGAGGCATCCAAAGCCCGAAAATGGGGACAGAGCTGTGAATTGGCAGAAGTACCACTTGCTATCTTATGAGGAGGAGCAGCTGGGAAATGAGATCGAAGCTCGACTTTTGGAGGCTAGCACGGCGCCGGCCCAGGCTGAGACTGTCGACTTGAAGGGATTTTACACCGGTGACCGCCAAGAAAACTGGAAGGCATCGCTGGTAAAGGAGTATGGCAAGATGAACGGGGTGCTCGAGGAGACGCTCCGAACTCAGCTCAGGGAGAAGTTGGGGATTGATGAATCAAAGCCATTGCCCCGAGAGTCCGAGAGATACCGTCGAAGATCGTTGCTACTTTGAAGCCCTGTGACAATCCTGCTGAAGCCAACGCCGATGGTTTCTTGGAAAAGAGCAGGCTCTGTGCATGTGGCAACTTCGAAGCGGGGGTTGACAACAACGGTGAGCCGTGGTCATCTTCAAACATTCCACCTGAAATTGTGCGCACTTTCGTGTCTCTTGCTGCATCCAACGATGCTTGGACGTTGGGCGGTCTTGACGTAGAGGCAGCCTTTTTAAACGCCGACATATCGTCCGGGGACCCTGTGATTCTTACCCCGCCGAAAGTTATGCGGGATCTGAACATGATTCCGCCTAATACGGTGTGGATCGCGCGAAAGAATATCTACGGATTACGTCGGGGACCGACGGAATGGCAGAAGGAAAGGGACACGAAGCTGAATCATGCAGTTATCGAACCGACATCGTCCGATGGACTTTCAGCATTGACCTTGGTTCCACTCAATCTGGCTGCAGGCTTGTGGAAGGTGGTGGATTCGCGTGGAGCGGTAGTGGGTGCATGCTGTTGCTACGTTGATGATGGTCTGGTTCTTGGATCCGTGGAAGTTATCCGACGCGTGACTGCGTACATCCAAGGGCTTTGGGCAATCAAGGGTCAGGGAATTCTTGATAAGCCCAGTGTGAACCTCACCGAGGATGTAAAAATGTTCAGTGCATGCGGTTCTTGGGCGCGGAAATTTCTGCTTCAGAAACAGGCTTGCAGATTGGACAGGCCAAATATGTGGCCCAGGAACTCCGAGCACGGGGCTGGCTAGCATTAAAGGGGTCTGAGTCACTCCCGGTACCTTCCGAAGGACTTGCGGGATCAGAACTTCGTGATAACAATCTCGAGCGCAACATGAAGTTGGCTCAGAAAGAGGCCGGAACATTGATGTGGATTGCATTGAGGTCTCGTCCTGACATTGCTGCGTGCCTTGGAATCGCTTCAACGCTGATAACTGTACGGCCTACGGAGAGCCTTCGGCTGTGCAAGGGAATTTGGCGATACCTTCGGCCAGACAATCCAGAGGCCAGTGGCGACGATCAATGGGTGTTCCGGATTGTGTCGGACGCTTCTCTGGCTCCAGGCGGGGCTCGCTCGAGGAGTGGTGTGGCACTATTTCTGGGAAGTCATCTTCTTTATTGGAAGTCACAAAGACAAGCTTTAGTGGCATGGTCGGCTACAGAAAGTGAACTCGAGGCGATGGCAATCGCTTTCCAAGATGGGCTGAAGCTTCACGCGGTCATAGCTGAACTGCTGAACAATGCGCCGCGCATTTATGCTTTCGGTGACAACTCAGGTGCCCTGCAGCTGCTGACTAAGGAACGTTTTCATGAACAGACGATGCGAACCCGGCATTTCGCAATCCGTTGTGCCTACATTCGGGATCTAGCATGGACTCATGATATACAAATCTGTCACAGGGGCACAAACGACTTGGAAGCCGATGGGCTCACAAAGGTCTTGGGCAAGGCTAAGCTAGCCACCGCTCGAAGGCAGCTGACCTTGAGATGATGAATGAACTTCGTCGGGGAGGCGCACCGGGTCACAGAGTGTTCCGATGCGTCTGGATGTATATTCAGTGGAATATGCTGCAAATCTTCTGTTAGTGTTCCGTAGACACCGAAGGAATAGTCCAGTGTCTAGAGTTAGGTGGCGCGACGAGTGATGGCCCACTGGGGCATAAGAGACAACAAACACCTCGAAAAAAGAAAAACAAAAGACTATGTGCATCGCGGGGGTATGCACAGGGGCCATAGGCTGGCCTCGACAAGCTGGTACTCTATGCGCCAATAGTTACTACCTGTATAGTGGACGGAGTGTGCATCTGGCCATTGTTTCAGTCTCGTCCCCTGTGACGAACTGAAAAGGAGGAGTGTTTGTGGGAAACCAGATGTATCATGATACTCCTTTTGTCTTCTTGCTGACGATAGCTGTAGGCTCGATCGTTAAAGCATGCAACATCTTAATTTCCTTTTGCAGTTCACGAAGATGAGCTTTGCATGTCACAGTATACAGCTTTCAACGGCGACTTGTGGCTCAAGTTCGAGAAAAGAATGGGCTCGTGAGCACTCGCCCATGTGGTGAAGGGTGTTCAGGGTGATCAGGTTTGGAATTCGGTGTGGCGGACGCCGAGGGGATCTGGAGGTGAACGACGACGATGGAGGCAGACGATTTCCGTGAACCCCGTACTCCCCGTAATCGTCCAACCCAACGAGCGCTGCCTGATCATTATAGCCCGGTTACTGATGCAGCATCAAGTCCCGATGTGAACATTGTGCAAAGGCGCGACTTGACGCATTATGATGGAGCTTATAACCAACACAGGGCTGGCTGCGCCGCTGGTGGTGCCTGCTCAGTGTTGCTTTGCAAAGCACACTTGCTGCAACACTGCTCGGCACGCCGTACATCGCTGGGGCCATGCCTGGCTCTCAGCTCCCCACGCTCGGGGACGTCCTGCACGACGCAGCCCCCCCACCCCGAGCCGCCTGCCGTAGTTTGCAGCGTGCACGGGGACCGGACTCTTTTGCGCAGTCGTAAAAAGGTGCGCGGAACAAAAAAACTACACTGCGGCCAAAGGGTAGGCGCTTACGATGACCATGAAACCAAGTGGCCGATAATCACAAAAGCAACCCCTTTGGCAAAACAACAACTAGATCATGTTGAGGCCCATCATGGCACGCAATGTCAACGTGAAGACTGTTAGATTTGCTGCCCGCGGCTGGCAAACGATCGTTCTGCGTTGCTTTATATACCCTGCGAACAGAAACAAGGATCATTGATCATCATGAACAAACCACCACTCACTGTACCGATCCGTGATTGGCGGAAAACGAGCAGTTTCAAACTTTGCGAGCGGACAAGCGACGCGACGTGACGGGATGGAAGCTGGCAAGTATGCTCGAGCGGAAGAGCGTCGCTCTGGTGGGCGCTGTGCTCGCGACAGCTTGCTGCACGGCCACGCTCAGCATGCCTCACCAACGACGAGACCAGCCCGTTCCAAGCCGCTGCATGCAGGGCCGCGCGGCTCTGTGCGACCGAGCCCTTCCAACAGCGGCCCACGCCCAAGCCTAGCACGACAAGCATTGTGGCCTCCCGTGGCTGGGTAAGCTCACAGCTTGCAATGTCACCGCACCCCCTCGCGGCCGGACGGGATTCCTACGAGGCGTCCGGAAACGACCGTGAGTGACAAACAGACAGCCGACTTGCGAACACAAAACGCCTCTCCTTTGTTTGGTGCATCATGGAAGCGATGGGCGACGAGGACATGGAGGTGTCTTCACGGTGCAGGAAACCGACATCCCGGCCACGAGAACCATTAACACCATCGAACCAGACGGATCATCGTGTTTTGTCCTCGGGGCAAACAATCTCTTGTAAGTATGCGAAATGAGACCTTGGCTCACAAAGCAAAACGTGAGATGTAATCGATTTCCTTGCAAATTGACCAAAGTCTGTCGCAGTTCAAGACAGCCGCCGGGCACATCGCAGTCGCCCGCAGTCACTGAGCGCCCATGCAAAACGGTATAACTCAAAACCTGATGTGCTGTGCCGGTGCCGGCAGAAAGTACGTCCTGTACTTGCGAAGGGGCTTACAATCTCTGTCGGGGCGCCGCGTGATCTCGCGGCGGCTTTCGTTGAGCTCCTTACCGGACCCCTCGAGACGATGTGCGGGCGCATGCCCGGCCGAAGTTGCACTTGCTTGCGATCGGGCAGGGATGCGGCGAGAGCTCTTTGCGCAGCAACGGCGAGCAATCTCGACAACCTTGCGACCTAAGTGCTGCAAGATTTGGCCGCGGCATGCTCGAACTTAACATTGCCGGCCCGCATTTGTGCGCACCTTGCCCATGCGAGAGTGTGCCACAGCAGCGGCAGTACCAAGAGATGCAGGGTACATGCATTGAAAAAAACCGCGAGGCTACAGCATAATCTCTATTGAGATGCTAGGGGATCAGGCGGATTGGGACGGATTTGTGCACAGCTTTGCCCACACTCTTTTCCCCATTGCAGCGAGATGGCCCAGCCGCAAAGAGCGAATGAAGGAACCAGATGCTGCTTTTATTGTAGATTGCTGATGATCCAGACAACCTCCGATGCATTACTTGCACATGTGGCAAAGGAATCTGCTGCTCCGCTCCAAGCCCTGCACTTGCGATGTGTGCACTTGCCAGGCAAGTGGAGAACGGGCAGTTGTGCTGTCGCATTCCTTAGGACTGGTTTGAGATCGGATCAGTGAATTCAGATGCCGTCAAATCCTTGTTGCATCGGAAGGTCTGCAGAGCAAGAGTTGTGTGTACTTGCAGGATGTCCGACCATGCTTGCCTTTTTCAACAGCTACGTGAGTGAAGATTGGCGAGCCCAGCACATTCATGGTTGGGTTGCTTTGTCTGGGCCTTGGATGGGCGGAGCAACTCAAATAGGTGCTTACTTGGGTGGCTGGACTTTGGGCTTGCCCAGCTGGTTGATCCCCCATGATTATGTGCAGCGCGTTCAAGTAAACGCGAGCAGCAGCTCAGCACCCATCTCGTAAATTTCTTTGTTGTTTCATTTGTCGGTTTTGGTTTCCTCCCTGGCACACGCAGAGTTTTGCGAGTTTTTATGCCGTTATGCCATGTTGATTGCGTCCAAGGCGGCGTTTGGATGAGCCCACATCCGGATGCTTTCGGCGAAGCTGTTCTAGTGGAGACGCCATCGCGCAATTACACGGCTGCAGACGTGCCCGACATGTTGCGTAAAATCGGTGTCAAGGCTGGAGGAAACCAGACAGCATCGCTTTTTGCTAAACTGCAGAAACCATTGGCAAAGCTCCAGCATGCTCCCAAGAATGTGCCGCTGCAGAATTGGTATTCTACAGGCATTCGAACTGCGGAGGCATTGGTGTTTGACAGCGACATCGTCGAAGGCTTTGACAAGGTTGCGACAACGACGAGGTATGGCGACGGCGATGGTTTGGTCAACTTGTTGTCCCTCGCTCAGGTTGAGAAGGTCTGGCCGCACTCGCCATTTGTGTCAACGCGAAGGTTTCCCAACTGCTCACACTTCGGAATTTTGTCAGACGAGCGCGTGCTCAAAGACTTGGTGAGCTATTTAGCCCGCAACACAAGCAGGGAGATTTTCGTTTGACATGTTGCACTGCGTTTCACCAATTTCATGCAGTTTTCACGTTGGCAGTTCGTGCCTTCCATACAGATCTCAGACCTCATTTTGCTTTATCTGTTTCCAAAGACGCGAGATTTATGCTGGTTTGTGGTTGACAGGTTGACATGCTCATGGCATGAAAGGACCACATAAATAAACTCTTGCGGTCGGGACCTGATGCGAAGTGTAGCCGACCGCTGCACAGCTGCAATGCTGGGTGCATTTAGCACGTCCACACGAACACTCCAGACCAAAGCCAGTGCAAATTTCTCCCCGTCAGGGATTCAGCATCGACTGCGAACATACCTGCCATGATACAGCTGAGCATCTCAACGCCTGACAAGAGAAAGGCGTTGGAATTGCAACTCTGGGTCGCGCATTTTTTACGAACGTGCTGTGCAGGTACTATTGGAGTGCCAGGCATCGATGACTTTTGCAGAGGCTCAGCTTCCGAAGGGGGAACGATGTGTTTGTGCATGAACCTTCCAGCTCCAAGGTGAAGCGACAAGTCGAGGCTGTTCACAGCTGGTGTATCTGCTACCATGTTTCCACGCAAGACATCGTACCACGAAGGCAGAGACAGCCGTTCCGCCTGACAAGCCGAAGCCCGAGCGAGATTGCAGCAATTGGTATGAGGTAAGACTTGGTAGTGTGTGTGCGTGCGTGTGTGATTGCAGTGTCGTGGTGAAGCCATTGTTTGTGCAATGCCTTGTTGCCCAAAGCTGTCAATAGATGAGAACTTCGATTTGCATTGATGCAGCATGGCAGTTTCCGAGCTGTGTTTTCATATTCGCACGACCAAATGTAACTCTTGTGTTCATTTCCCCTTTGTCGCACATGTTCCACTGCCATGGGCTCCATGTGCGGGCGCAGGTTCGCCGCTGAGTTGGAAACCTTGGTGCCGAAAGTCAGATGTTTGTTTCTCTTCTTTGTGCTTCCAGGCGGTAGATGCCGTTACAGTATTCATCGCGCGGACTTGTACTAGCCATAATTCGTCACGGCACAATTTTCACGATTTACGTCAGAGTTGTATTAAGCTTCTTGAGCTCTTGTTCTGTGAAGGGAAGGCTGCATGAGGGCAAGTGCTGTGTTAAGTGCTACATTCTACATGCTAGCTGATTGTTATGGTGTTCTACTGTAGTCTGGATTTGTGTTATGCGGCTTTCCAGGATCATCTTTGCATTTGACACTTGCGCATTTCGTCGAGAGGTTCGGTGAAGTCTACGCTTCGGTAACGCCTATGTGATGGTGTCAGCACAGCATGCACTGCACAGGCAAGCAAAGCGAATGAAAGGCATCAGAACGCAGGGACTGGCAGCTCATGCCAGCGCTTTCCTGTCAGCCAACTTTCTGGCACGTTCCCGTTTGCCGTCAGCACCAGAAGATTTCGCCACTGTACTCGGGAACTTTGAGAAAATCGTAATGATAGCAAAGCATCCTCCCGAACCTACCGACAGGCGCACAGACTACCAAGCTCCACTGGCGCGCTCGCCAGAGGCCCGGCGTGTTTCCCGCTCACAGTCCAAATGCGACAAGGATAATTTGGAAAACACCTGTGTCTCAGCAACATGTCTTTGGCATACAGTACCGCATCTGCAGCATGTCTGTTGCTCCCCAAGATCTCGCCACGAAAGGTTCAAGCTCAAGAACGAGTCGAGAGCGTAGTCCTTCCTTGCTTGAGAGAAACATCTTGATGTCGATCAAACCTGATGGCTGGCGGAGCCCTTCGGCGAGCCTGTACTTGGTGTACGGCCTGGTAGTTTTCTACGCCCTGTGCTACCAGCTGCAGGCTCCACTGGAACCCTTCTTAGTGGAACGGCTTGTGGGCAAGGATAATGCATCAGAGGCCAGCGTGTCATACGGACGCTTGCAGTCTCTTTTCTCAGGCATTCAGATGTTTGCCTCCCTTTTGTTTGGCCACATACTCGACAAGGCAGGTGTCCGTGTAGGATTCATTCTCAATTTCATGGCGTGCGCTGCCACTTATTTCTTGCTCTCTATCACTGACTCCATGGCCATGCTGTACGCCTCCAAAATTCCTGGGATCGGAATGGCTGGCTTCCTGTGTGCTCAGACTGCGGTCAGTGAGTTAACTGCAGCCGGTCCGGAGCGCGTCCAGGCACTCGGGCGTCTGACAACGGCCTACACACTTGGTGGCATCGTCGGGCCATACTGTGGCGGACTTCTGGGTGCGAAGGGTGATTATTTCCTGAGCGCGAAACTTGCCATGCTCGGCTCCATCTTAGCAGCAGCAGGGTGCATCCTGCTACCCAGCAGTGCCAAAAGGACAGCAGACAAGAGCGAGGAAGACCGGGAGGCGAAAACAAACGCATCCGAGCGGCTATCCTGGGTCTCACGGATCTGCATTGTTCTGAGGGCAGCTGGCTTCTTGAGCATGGTGAAGCTCATCACTTCAACCTCGAACTCCATGGCCTCTGCCACTCAAAGCTTGGTGTTGAAGAACGAACTGAAATTTGCTGAGGCTGATTTGGGCTTTTTTATGTCTGCGCAGTTTGCTTTCGGTGCCTTTTCAAACGCAGTGCTGCTCGGTCCGGTGACTGAGCTCCTCGGGGGTGCGCCGCGTTTCGTTGTGCGAAACTGCATCGTGGGCATGGCCATCGGTTATTGCTTCCAAGCTTTCTTGAATTCTGATGTCGCAGGGATCTCGTATCTCATGCAACCAATCGTTCGCCAATGCAGTTTCGTTGCTATGGCACTACTTCTGTCGATATTCCAGTACAGCTTGGCAACCAGCATCACAGCCGAAAACACGCAGTTGGTGCCCGAAGACATGAAGGGTACTTTGATAGGCATGGAACACTGCATTTTCTCAGCGGCTCGGGTTGTGACCCCAGCCATGGGCATCAACATCTTGAACGAATATGGCATGGGAGGACTGTATGCTTCATGTGCGTCAATTTTCATCGCAACCTACATCCTTTGGGTCGTGGCTTGTGATCGTTTTCTCTCCCACACCGACAAGAAAAGCAGCTGAGCGACACGGACAAGGACAAGGATGTGACGAAAGCCGGCAAAGTCGGCAGACTGCTCTGAAAAGCGCTCTTGCACAAACTGCGCGCTTTTGTGGCCTGTGAATCACGCAAAACTGTCATGAACTGCCCACTCTTCGACGCTTTGTTCGACAGGTAGCGCAGGAAACCCAGGAGCCGCAGATGGCCGACGAGGCTTGGAGGTTCAGCTTGGCCTCCGCAGGCCTTTGCTGCCAATTGGTGTCTGGCAAGGCAGCTTTCGAAGGGGAAGACAACAAGAGGCTTGTCTGCCGCCACTCATGAAATTGAGGATTTTTCCGACTTGGTCAGATCAGGCCTCACTGGGATGCGCCATCCAGATGTGGCGCGTGTGCCGGTGATCTCCAGGCCACTCCGGGTGTTTCGATGTCCGCCTTGTGCTGTAGCCAAGCGCAGGTCCCGCTCAGTCTACTCTCGCGTGCATATGCTGGGACTGGATTCGGCGACGATGCAGCAGACTGGGAGGGTGAGGGCCTCGGGCAAAAAAACCTTTTGCGAGTTTGGAGTCAGCGGACGCTGGACGGTCCCCAAAGCCCGGCACAAAGAAAGACAGAGGAGGAGAGGACGACGACGGAGGTGCCTCGAACCTCTGGCGAACTGGGGGCCGGCTTCGTGGCAGGGAGACAGAGTGGGCCGTGAGGCATGCGCGTGCGAGAGGGGTCCTCGATTAGAAGCAGTGCGACCTCTGGTTTGTGACCAGCAAAGCCGGTGAGAAAAGAGAAGCAAGATGAAGCAAGCAAGCAGGGGCACAGGCGTGTTTCAGGCAAATGTGTCAATTGCATGGTCGCCCGCTGAGCCGTCCCCTGAGCTTGTCGGTGCGCAAAGCGCGACGCTGCGAATTATTCTTGAGGAAAGGAAGGACTACTCACGGGGGGATGGCCCAGGACGCTGGCCTGAACCCCAAGCCCGGTAGAGAGAGAGAGAGAGAGAGCGGGGGGGGGGGGGCCTTGGGGCCGGGGGTCTTCGATGCAGTCGTGCAAGGTTCTATTCTTTGTGAGGCAGGCCGGGTTGGGATACTGGAAGCAGCAGAGGTTTCACCATGACAGGCAGCGAAGCAGGTACAACACAGCCCGAAACCCACCGGCCTCTCCATGCCTCTCACATTGTGGCATGGTCTGAGGATACCTAGCGGTGGAGAACGCCAACGGGTTTACGAACTCCGCCCTATACGGCAGCTCGGTCGACATCATAGTGGTTCATGAATTGATGTCCGCGTTCACTTCTGGCAGAGACCGGAGTGTTGGTGCAACAAGAGCATACTTGAGCAACGAACGGCTGGCAGACTCGTGTCATGCCACACCCTGGAGTTGCAATAGTCGAAACTTTTACCGGGGTGGCACATCTCTCGTTTGCAAGGGTTTTTGGTTCAGAAGGTCACGTGTGTATGGCACTGGACTTGTACAGGCTGGGTGCCCAACCACGGATTGATTGAGTGACGAGCTTGCGTAGCATGGTTTGACGTGCCGACTCGTTTCGGTCGAAGATGCTACCGGGCCAAGAGGCGAGGTCAACGAGCAAGATTTTGCCGAGCTGCTGAGAGACCACCTGCTCCCTCCAGCACGTGTTTACGCGACTTGGCAACCAAACCCCGTCTATCACAGTGTCTACATGGCTGATCCGATGCTGATGTGGGATGTAAGTCAGATTGGCTGAGGACCTCGGAAGTGGTACGGGGAAGCTCGCTTGGGGCCAAGATTCACACACTGCAAGTTTTCTGTGCTGCTGATCATCGCCTCTGGCAGCTCGGGGCTGAGGTAAATCTAGCTGCTGTGCTGGGTTTCCGAGCGACCGGTGTTGAGCTGGAGCCTGGACGCCATCACAGAGCATGACGCTTGGCCAGTTTTATATGGCCAGCATTCTCGCGAACTGTTGCGGCGGCAGGTGGACATGGCTGCTGTGGTGTTGCATGTCAATGTAACCAGTGCTTTGCACGATCGCTGGGTGGCCTTGAGCTGAGCATGACTTGTTCAGGCAGTGCAGCGAAGGCTATGCTGCGGGTTCAGGCCATGTAGCAGCAGAGAATCGGAGAGTGATGGTTCGGCAGATGGTAATCTGTGGAGAAGATGTAGTCGTCGGAGGATCGAGCATGCAATCTTCTCAACTGCAAGTACTGCCTGCCCATGCCTGCCCTTGGTTCTGTTGCAGGCAGATGTCGCATTGGAAGGCCAGCATGCGCTTTTCCGAAGGTCGTGTGCATTTTAGGGTTCGTTGGGTTCTGCAGAGGTGTTTTTGAAAGCCAAAGCCCTGAGCCTTGCACCGCCGGTAGTGAACCGCTGTAGGGAACGAAGCTGTCGGGGGCGAGAAATTGGGGCCAGGCTTGCAGCCCGTCCAGCCTCGGTTCCTCCTCGCCAGCTTTCTGGATTTCGATTTCTCAGATGCGGACTCCGGTGTAACGGATTGCAGCCGCATGCCTTTCCGTTTTGCTTGCAAGACTGCTCAAGGAAAAACCTGCCTCTGCAGGACCTGGTCTGGGCAAATTCCGTGGTTTTTAGCCCCGCGATGATGGAGGCATTCCTCGCGGAGAGTCACGTGTGCAGCTTGTGTCATGTCCCACTCTGACCTCTTCCTAGGCTGTGGCGGCACAGGCGCGCAAGATGCGCCCGGGAGCATACGTTGTCAGCCACAAGCTTCCTGCAGGCATCAAAGGCATATGCAAAGCTGCGCTAGGTTGCTGCTAGATGCTTTCGGGAACAATGGTTGCTTGGTCCGCCTTGCAATCTCTTGACTCCCCGTTATCACTTACCAAGACCTACCCGAGCCAAGCACCCGACCAAGGCTGTTGCCTGGACCAGGCTTTGAACCATGCGGTGCCATGGTTGTCAAGGGATGGAGCTGTTTCCAATTGGAGGTGGCGCTTGAAACGAGGGCTCTGGTAAGCTGGGGTCCGGGGGGCATCTTCTAAGCAGCTAGAGCATTCAACCAAGGCGACGCATTCCTGAGGGTTTCCTGGCGGCCTGAGGGCCGAGTTTGTTTCAAAGTGCAGAAAGTGCTCGGCGAACCGAGCTAGAAGACAAGAGCTGCATTATCTCTTTCTTTCTGATTCGCGCGTGGACGCGCGCACGTCAGCCAGGACAACAGGCCAGTGATTACGACTGCAGGAAAGTTCAGAGTTCGCTCTCCCTGCAGGGCTGCGGTAGCCTTGTTGTCCGCAACTGGCAATCACCAGGTCTGCAGCATCACCTGCGCCTCAGCATGGTTCACGTGTATCCCCCCACATCCCCCGCACGATGCACAGCCAGAACGGAAGAGGTTGGGGTGTAAGTGTTGGTGGTCTGCAGTGGTTTGAGCACCCAGCAGCGTCCTGAAACAGGACGGTGCCTAGTGTGCGAAGAGAATGTGGAATGTGGTCGTGTTTGTACATTTGCTCCAGGACACTTTGTGTACCTCTGGCGTTTCCGCAAGAATCAGAACATATTAGAACTGGACTTGGGGCCGATTCACGTGGAGTATGCGACTGTTATGGAGCGGATGCTGTCCTCACGAAGTGTGGCTGTACATCTGCAGAATTTCGCATATATGATGGTATATGTATACTCTATCTAATCACCATGTATCAAAACATGAAGCCGTGGCATGCTCCTTCTGGCCCTTCGTCTGCCTTTGCCCCGAAACCGAAATCTTGGATCCGGCGGCAAAAAGAATCCTCTTTTGCTTGTGCGTGCACCAGGGCAACGTTTTTGTGTGTGCCTGTGCTTGTGACAACCCACAGTAAAGAACAAGTGTGTGCATCAAACCGACATGATGCACACCGAACATGCTTGTGCCGGGGCACAGGCCCATGGTGGAATCCGCTCCAACGGAGCGAAGGAAGAGACCAGTTGATCACCTCTGTGATGTTCTATATGTATGTAATGCAATGAAGACGACACACTCGCCGTGGATGGGATATGATGGCGGCTGGGCATGTGCTTTCGTATCCCCGTCGCCACGTTGCAAGTTGGTAGGCAGTGAATGCATCTCCATCGTTAGCGGGGGCTTGCTGGTGAGCGCCGAAGTGCGTTTGATTGTGCAGAGGTTCTACGCATGTTGCGTATCGTTTCCTACAAGTTCGAGGGGTTGAATTGCACGCATGCAGGTGTTCCTGTGTGCAAACTTATGCCTGGGCTTTTTGGGCGACGTTTGACGTCCGACGTAAGGCAGCGATTGTTGTGCAACGGCAAAGAAAGAAAGGATGACAAAGAGACGCCGGGTGCACAGTGCAGAGTCGAGCAACCAGCCGTGCAAGTGGCACATTCTGGAAATTTCAGATTGGCGGCTGCCGGTGTTGGTGCAAAATCCAAGCTGATGCTGATGCCAGCAGCTTGGCCGCCATGTGCTCTGGAGTTGCAGAGAAGCACCACCCAGGCTCGTGCCCGGTTATGCAATGCCACCGCCTCCAGAAACAAACTCAGCTTTGCGGTGCTGCTGTGTCTTGAAAATAAGCATTGACCGCAAGAAATGAGGCGCAAAGCACGCAGGCAGAAGCGCAGGCAGCAGCAGCAGGAGCAGCAGCAGCAGCAGCAGCACCCGGTACGGAGACCGTGGACGAGGCAGGACGCATGGTCCGTACGTGCTGAAGCCGTCGCGACCACGGTCAGGGCTCGCAGGAGCCGGTGATTCTTGAAGGAGTTCTTGGAGGCACAATGAGGCGCTGCTCAACAAACTGACGAAATCGGATCCGTTTAGGCCCGCAAGATCTGGCAGACGAGGCCTCAGCCATGGTAAGATTACAAACCGTGAGCAGGGTGAAGAGAAACGATGCCGTTTCGAAGCTGTTCTGGGACTGCTCTGTGGAGGCCATTGCTGGGTCGGTGCTGGTTCGGCAGGGGCTCATACCTCAGCGCCTCCTGCCCTTGGCCACCTTGTTGGAATCGATTCTTGAGGCCAAACCGTTTTCGAATTCGTTTGACCAAAGGGCTGCCCGAGGCAGGAATTCTTTTCGCGAGAATCGTGCGACCATCTTTGGAAAGCCTACATGGCGCACCGTATGTGCAAGTGAACATCTCCAGGTGACCTTTGGTGACATTGCTGATTACCTTGCTGCACAGATGCTGCCGCCAGGAATACCGCCGTTGTGTCCTCGGCTTGCCTTCATTCTGTCCGCAGCAGTATGTCGCTGCTTAGTGGCTTAATGTGTGTCGTGGTACGTCACTAACGAAGAGATTGAGCTGATTGTTTCAAGTCACTTTTAGGTCTGAGCTGCGCCTCATATCCAAGGGCAAGACGGTTTGCAACCAAGACTGTCGCACAGACAGACAGTGACAGGATCACTCCTACCTTTGCCATCCTTTTGCCAAGGCCAGTCGCGACGATGTGCTGGACAAGAGTGGCAGCAACAAAGAATTGTGGCAGCCTTGGCATCTTGATGACGAGTCGCCAATCGTGGTTGTGCCGCGGCCTTCAAGTTCCATTTTGCTGCTTTTCCGGGAGGGCTTCCATCTTGCCGCTTCCCAAGTACCCGGCTTCGGAGCCGCAGATGACAGATCTCTTGCAAGGGTCTGGTGTAGAGCCAAGGCGGAAGAAGGCACGCGATGGATGCGTGAGCAGGCTGAAGAGCTGACCCAGGCCCAGTTCGTTCCCGGCAAATTTCGCATGGTGCTCCCACCCTCCTCTTCCACAGTGATGCCTGAGCCTGAGAGTCTAAGACGGGAATTGCCAAGCAAGACCTGGAAAGGCAGAAGCCAAGATCTCGTCGCTAGCCAAACGAGCATGTGCCCCAAGTGGAATACATAGCAGCATGGCATGGGTCCTTACAGCCGATATTGAAGGTCGAGGCCAACTTCTGCGACGCAGAGACCTCTCTCCAGTTGGCCGAGGAATCAGTGCATGGGTGTGGGTTGGCCATTCCGGGGTGTCGGTTATTGAACCTTCAGGTTGCAGGACGCGTTGAGACGTTTTTGCAAAGTGTCGCCAGCTCGAAGGGAGACCCTTGAGACGATAAATGGTGGAGGCCGTGCATGCCGAGGTGGAGAGTGTTCGAGTAAATGCGACGAAGCTGCCGGCAATGGAAGAGCTTGGTCCCCACTTGCTTGGCCGTGAGCAGTCGGTCCGTCTTCCGTTGTGCTGATGACGTTAAACTCTGCTTGACCAGTCAGGCTTCGCGATCGAGCGAGGAAGGCACATGAACGCCAGAACTCCAGAAGCGTCTGGAGCTGTCTCTCTTTCTCACTCTGTGCAACCTTTTCTCTCGCTCTCTTTGTCTTTGTCTCTGTCTCTTCCTTCCTTCTCTCATTTTCTTCCCACCGCTCGGGCGACAGTGATTTGATTGGCGACGCCTGCAAAGGTTTGCAAGCACTGAGAAAGGCGGTCCGGTTCTGAGAATTTTTACTAAGCGCGAGTCAGCAGCTCCTGCTGGTCATTGTTCTCACGTTTTGCAGACCAAGAGCCCAGTCTTTGAGTAGTCTATCCGCCTGCAAAGTATTGGGCGGAGACAGGCTCACTGTGCACAGGCACCTCTCGACCCTGCCTGGTGTGTTCTGCCAACGGCAAAAATCCGCAGAGGGGTCCGTAACGAATTTAGGCCCGTCATGTGGCTGGCGGCTGGTGGACAGAGTTGGCTTGTTACCTCCATGTGCTTAAGTGATCCCTCGCTGCCCTTCAGGTTTCACACATGGCCCGAGAAAGCATCGTGAAGTGTCGCAGC